TAGAGATTTAAACAATAGAGATATTTACACTTATGTCTAGATTATTAAAGCTAATGAAATATATTTTACTAAATAACCAGCAAGAGTTGAAAGTGAACTCAGTAAAAACTTGGATTGGTTAACACATCAGTCTCAAATGCCTTGTGTAGCTTGTTTATGCAAAAGTTTAAAATGTGATAAATTTTAATTTCACTCTTGCAGTTCATTGGCAACATAAGAATTTATGAATGAATTACTGCTGGAAGTAGTGGAGCCAGGTTGCCAGAAGCTCTCAATATTGCTATGATGTCCACTAATGTTAGAAGTTAATTGGGTATTAACAATCAACAGGTTAAATGCATACAAAGTTTCAATTTCCTGTCAGTGGGCTTTTTATATATTTCTTCATCGCATATCCTGTTACTCTTCATTTCCTTAAGAGATATAGTTCCTACTTTTATTTTTCCTCTGGGTCATTTGCTCTTTTCATCAATCCATACTTCAAATACTAAGTGCCTGCATTACACCTTTTATGACATAATCTTTTCATTTACTTCATCACATGTTTTATCATTTTTTAACACTTATATTTTTAACATGTCAACTTTTCCAAATTTTTCCATAAGGAAATATATATATTTTTTTATCTTACCAAATGTCCCAGAAAAAATTTAAAATATTTATTTTCCCAGTCAGTCTATTAATTAGTAATTGTCAATATTTGGGGCTAGAAAGAGTCTGACAGTATCTCTTAACTATGCAAGAGTAATGTTTGATGATAGTTATAGTTTTTGAGACAAATGATAAAAAACATAACAATACAAAATTAATCCAGTTATAGTTTTGATTTCTATATGAATTATTTTTTTATTTATATCAACTTCATTTAAAATGATATGATGATGAAATCTCTTGTAACTTTTCAAAATAAAAATTGTCATAATTTCTTTTCATACTTTGAAAGCATTTAAAAAGGCAAAATAATCTGTTCAAGTATCTAAATAAAGTTTTTTATATTAAAAAATTAAGTACTATTGTTTCTGTAATTTTCATTTCTGAATATAAGTAGCATTAATAATGATTTCACTCAAATGTATTCAAGCTGTTACAGTTTGTCATTTATGAGTAGTCACCATTGTTTTCATTTCAGTTCATATGCTAATCATAATCTTTTACAAGATACTGTTGTTCATTTTCACAATGTATTAAAGAAGTAACTATTGACAATGCATAAATGTATATATGTACATTAGTAAATCCATGGCATAATGATAAAAGTATTTATTTTATACAACAAATATTTCTTTTTCAACATAATATTTTTTATTATTAATAAAAAATATAAAATATTAAAATGTGAAAATTTCAGATCAAAATTCAGATTATAACTATTATTGATCCATCTTTGTACATATGAGTGAAAACTAGATTTATATTCTTAGCATCTTAATCTTTTGCAGCATCTAAATTCATTTGAATCAGCCGTTTTGAAGAACAGTCAGATTACTTGTTCAGGATATTATCCTTATTTTTTATATTTTACTTCTACTCGTTAGTGAATACAGTTAATATTTGTTTTTTCTTTTTACTCCAGTGCTTGAATGACAGGTTTTAGATCATTTTTTAAGAGAGAATTTTTACCAATCCCTCTATTTGCTTACTATATTCTGATAGTAGTTAATATGATTTGCTGATAGATTGAAAGAACAATCTAATGAAAGCTAATGGAAATTTCACATATCTCAGCATGTACAAGAGAATGTTTAAAACATTATAATACATTTAGCTTACATCTAAAGTAGTGTAATAAAAAAATGTCTATTCTGAAAAATTGTTACTAACTTTAAAATATTGATTAATATACCAAAAAAATATATATATATATATATATATATATATATATATATATATATATATATATATATGCCATTATATATATATATATATATATATATATATATATATATATATATATATATATATATAAATGATAGCAATCACATTTGGTATCACAATATAATAATGAAAAGTAACCTGTGGGCTGCAATGTCATTTAGTATCTATATTTTTATGTACTGTAAATCATGGGATTAATATTTGATTTGTTCATTCCATTTAGAATGAAAGTTATAAAAAAAACTACAGATTTTAAAAATTTAATTTTTCTGGCAGAGTTAAGAATCACTGTGCCAAATTTTCTCAAGATCTATCAAACTTCTTTCTAATGAAACACACACGCAACTAATATAATTCCCTATTTTTTGGTGTTCTTGCATGCAGGGTAACAATGACAACAATAACACTACTACTAATAGCAGCTTCATACAATACTATCACTTTTAGGTAAAATGTTATTTATCATAATTTGATTTGATTTATTATTTATAAGTTTTAGTAGAAGAGCTTTGAAAATTAAAAAAAAATCAGGACAATATATAAAAATGTAAACAAAATTTAACAAAAAAGTGTAAAGTAAATTTTAAATGAACAAAAAGGCTAGGATGAAAAAGGAAATGATAAAACTTTGTGCTGTTTGGACTGTTTATAAATTATAGCAGAAAAGAAGAATTTAATGTATGAAAACTTTTTTTGAAATGAATTAGACTCATAATAAGAAGAATTATACCAATTAGATCATTACAAAGTGACTTAATTTAATAAATTGCCTTTATTAGAAAAATACAAATTTATGACAACTTTCTTTGGTTTACTTTTTATCAAAATCTATCAAAATTTGATTTAAACTTTGCCAAATTATTACAGGAAAGCAATTTTTGTTTAAAGTTAAAAACAAAGAAACAGGCATATCTAAACTGTTTTTATTTGTATTTATAATGATTTAAAACAAATCAGGATTAATTGCCACACTAATAATGAAACGGATGAAAATCTATATGAGCAACAGAATATTTATAAAAAAGAACAACTACTGCATTAAATAAAAACTTAAGAAATCTGCTTTTTGTTCAAGAGTTTTGTTGTTATACTGACACAAATGTTGAGCTAATATTTGTTGATTTAACATAATTTTAAAAATCAGAAAAATATAATTCCAGATATTTTCAAGGTTTGTGATTAATTTTATGAATGTTTGACCAAAATAATATCTTGTCTTCTAGAAGCACACAGCAGATTTGATAGACCTACACTATTTCCTTCAACAAAGTGTCTAAAGGCTAAGTTTATGACTCCTTAAGAATGAGAAAAATAAAACTGAATAAAAATGAAAAGCATTTCTTTTCTGTGGTAAAACAAGAAAATAGGATGCTATAAGTTTATAAAATCAATTTGTATAAAAGATTGCTGAAACTTTTATTTGATTGAGGAAATCTGCTTAAGAAAAAGAAAAAAAATAAAATCTAAGAAAAGTTATATTTGGTTTTGCAATAAAATATTGGATAATAACAGTTTATTTACAATATGGATGTAATTACATTACCATATAAAAATACTCTCAACAAAGAATTCAATACATACTGTAAAAATCTGCCAAATTTCTTCAAAGTTTCATTCAAAGTTGTTTTTCATTTCTAATGGTTTGCATGAATTTCGTTTAGTTATTATTCAAACTTCAAACTTTGATTGAATAGTTAAATTTGTTAAACTCTTAATTTATATAAGTGCAGATCAAAAAATAATTTTTTGTTTTAGAGAACATTTTCTTTTTAGATTATTTGTAGATTATTAGAAAATTTCTGTGGAATAATATTTTCTATGAATTAAGTGAAATATATGAATCTATTGATTACTATACAGATATTTTCATTTCCTTTCCACATTCATTTTTGTTTTAGAAAAGTTATGAATTTGGTATCCCCCAGGACAATAACTGACAACTTTTTAATAATTCAACTGAAGTATTAGCAAAGATTCACAGCTATTTAAAATAGAAACTTTAGGTATGCTTGATGAAGAATAAGAAAAATAATTTTTATATAATAATATATGTTAATATATATTTTTTATAAAATGATATATATTTGTTTTGGGTTTTCAAATGACAGGAAGTATTTTAAGTAATAATATATAACTTTAATTTAAATATATAACTTTAGCTTAAAGTACTTAAAGCTTAAATATATAACTTTAGCTTAAAGTACTTTTGATTTTTGATGTAAGTTAATATAACTTGAATTTTGATAACAATTATATAACATTGTCATGCAATAATGAGTTAAAAAATGAGCAGGAAATAGAAAATCATAATTCTAGTAAAGATATTTGCAAAAGTACAAACTGAAACTCTTTATGAAGAAAAAAGTATGCTTTCAAAAATTTAGTGCAAGAATTTATGCTAATATATTTTTATTTCTATTTTGAGTATTTAATGTACAAAAAATGTTCTAGATTTTTAAATTGTTTTAAAATTTTTACACTAAAATATTTGCTTTTAGGTCAATAAATTTGTATCAGAAAAGAAAAGTTTAATGGTTTGAAAGAATAATTTTTTTGATATTTAATCCAAAATCTTAGAAAAATGATTTTAATACGTGCTTATGTAATTATGTATGACAGATATGGTATATTAGATTGACTAACATTTTAAATTGAAGTAGTAGTAGGAGAGAACTCCACAGAAGTTTTGTTTGTTTTGTGTGACTAGCATTTCATAATTAAAGAATATATTTTTTATTATATACAGACAGATTTCTTCTTTTACAAAATGCAATCCATAAAAATGGTTTCATGAAATTTAACAATAAGAGCTTTATTTAAACTGCAAAATTAAAATAATGCTGTGCAAGTTGAATTACAATTTATCAAATACTCATTAAAATTTGCTAGAAAATAATATTCTCATATTACTATTCATCAGAGATTAAGTAACCTTACCTTTAAGAAATCAATAGAGAAAACTTGATGCACTTTAGTATTGTTAATTGAAGCTTTTCCAACACACATACACACACACACACATATACATATATATATATATATATATATATATATATATATATATATATATATATATATAAACTGAAAAAAATAAAAACAAGTAATAAGTAAGATGTATCACTTAC